AACTGAGGATGAAGATAGGTGGAGCATTTCATACAACACATCAATTAAGGATGATGCCTGAATTTTCTGAAATATAGTTTTTCTTTCAATATCGATAAGATATATTCTATAATATTAGTAAGCTTATTCAAGTAGATCCACTAATTTCAATAAAATCAAATTAATCTCATTGCGTTTCCTACAGTAAAGGTGAATTACACTAATGTTTATCTAAACTTAAGCTTTCTCAATAACACGATTTGAAAAAAAATTAAAAATACATCAGAATATATAGAAGATTTTGAGGATGGGAGCAGGGGCAATGATGATGTGAGAGTAGGTGAGTTTTTCTCATTTAATTAGCCACACGCTATAAAACAAATGCACATCTTGAGCAGAGTCGTTGGATGTAATAAAAAAAACCATCTCGAAGGTGTGGGTGTGAATATTATTTTAGATTTATATCCACACCCACACCCACACCCTTGTATAACTATAAATGTAAAAGTATTTATTTGTTGTTAATGAAGTAGTTGAATAATAATTATTGTACGTTGTTTTGAGCATTTAACATTTTATAATAAATTCCATGTTTTTCTATTAGTTCTGTATGAGTACCACTTTCTACTATACGACCCATTTCAAGTACATGGATTAAATCACATGAACGTATTGTTGTAAGACGATGTGCAATAATAATTGATGTTCGACTAGGATCTTCTGTTTGAGCTTGTTCAAGAGTTACCTGTACTATCTGAAAATTAAAAATATTAAATATTTATAAAAGAAAATAAATTAACTTGTTCATTGTATGGATCCATAGCACTTGTCGCTTCATCTAATAACAGTATTTTAGGTCGACGAATAAGAACTCGAGCAATAGCAATACGTTGTTTTTCACCACCTGATAAAAAACTACCTTTGACTCCAACTTTTGTTTCATATCCCTATATGACAATATAAAATTATATTATTATTAAATAATTTAATATTAATCTAACTTGAGGTAATTGTTGAATAAATTGATGAATATTAGCTTTAGTTGCAGCAAGAACAATCTCATCCATTGGTATATTTTCTAATCCATATGATATATTTTCAGCAATTGTTAAATCAAATAAAACTGGTTCTTGACTAACAACACCCAGGCGAGAACGTAGCCATTGAAGATTTAATTTTCGAATATCAATACCATCAAGAATCTTATTTATATGAATATATTTTTATATGAATACTTGAATTATAAATATAGAAGAGAGATACTTACCAGTTGTCCATGTGTAACATCATAAAATCGTTCTAATAATTGAACTATTGTTGATTTTCCACATCCAGATGCACCTAAATTGAGTATATAATATGATTAATAAACTAGAAAACATAATTTATTTAAACATTACCAACAAGAGCTATACGTTGACCTGATTTAATAGATAATTGAAGTTTATTAAGAACAAGAACTGTTGGACGAGTTGGATAAATAAATTTAATTTGATTAAATTCTGTTTCTCCACTAAAGTTAATCTAAACAGTTCAAGATTAAAATATATAGAACTGAAAGATAATAGTTTTTTCTTTTACTAATTCTTGTCCTTTGTTTGATCCATTATCAATAGTTGGTATTCGATCAAATAGATCAAAAAAAGCGTGAGCAGCGGCAAATGATGCACCAATACGTTTTCCTCTAAAACGAAAATGACAAAAGCAAGAACAAAACATAAGTAGTATAGCATACAACATTCCAACAACTTTTAGTGATTCTAGTGCGAACATTCCAAAAGCAGAAATCCTATAAAAATAAAATAAATGATAAAATTTAATTTATAGAATATTAAAATTATTGTTTTAGTTACATAACAACATCGCTCATGTCTAGTTCATTTTTTTCAACAAGAATTAAAGCACGCCAATACAAAAGCCCCAAAGTCAATGGATTCAATATCCAGAACAATCCAAACATTGTTGCACACATTACTTCAGGTATCCACGACTTTCTAAACAAAAGAAAATTTATTGAAGATTGAAGTGAATATCTATAGAGAAAGAGAGTTAAATTCGATATTATTAGTTCATTATCAATATAGAAGAGTATGTTTTTGACAAAATTAATCAAGATTATTAAAAGCACTCAGAGTTTTGTTTATTACTCTATATATATTAAATTTCAATTCAGATCTACCATAATTAGAAAATAAACTAACTGCAATCAAAGCAACTATATCATTAATTTAATTATAAATTCTCATAGGGCTTAAAGTTCTCAATCACTTTTTGTCATTTTATTTTCACTCCAATTTTTGTTTCATGCAGTATATAAACATAATGCAAGATGATAGATAATTTCTAGCTCTATCAAAGCAAACTATTACTAATTTTTCATAAAGAACTTCTTTTCTAGTAATGAAGAATCTCAAAAAAATTAACTAAAGAAACGATGACAAAAAGACTAACTTTAATACTTGATCAAGCAGATCCGAATATTGTCGTAAAACTTCATTTTCTATTGATAACTGTTTTACTGTGCGCATATTAGTAATAACTTCAACAGCAAGCTAAACAAGACAAAACATAGAATGAATATTTAATAATCCCTGGATCAAATTATGTATAATAACAAGATGGTTTTACCGTGCTAGCTTGAGAGTAAATGAGATCAGCT